ATTTTTTTTTGTATTTGGCCTCCCTTGATGTGGTTTGAAATCCTTTTGACTATTGACTGTGTGTGTCAATAAAATTCAGAAAAAGTCGGTACTTTCATTAAGAACTGGAACCAAGTAATACATTATAGACGGATGATTAGCACCAAATTGCTTGCCGAAGCCAATATGCCATCCTCAACCTGACTTCTATCAGTCATCCTGGATTGATAGTCGATTGCAGCAAGGCCCTGCGGAAGATGCGTAACAGTAGCGATCTCAAAAAAAATCTAAGGGAAAAAAAAAAACTTGTAGACGTTTCATTTCGTCTATGTATTGTCATGTCGATGTTTTGTCCCGTCGATGTTTTGTCGCGTCGATGTTTCGTCGTCGATGTTCTGTCGTTTCGATGTTTTGGCGTCGATGTTTTGACACGGAACCCTCGGAACCCAATGTGATTAACCAAATGGGGACTGGGGTTCTCTTCGATTCAACTTATCCTGTTCCTCGTTCGACATAATCCAACCCGATGGGAATCGAGACGGCAGATTCTATCGGATAAATTACAATAATGCAAACATCTCACGCCTTTCTCACCCTCTCTATTCTCGTCGCTTCGCTTTCTGCCGAAGGCACCGTTTACGCGAACCTCTACGTACACCCGACGAGTGGCGATTGCCTTTCTCCACGAAACCCTTGGAGTGTTTTTCTCAAGAAGGCAGAAGTGGGAGACCGTTTCTGAGGCGAGTAAATTTTTCGTCGGATTGCGAACTGGGCATCATGAATTCCCGTCGTCGCATATCCTCATCTTTTCTCAAAATTTTGCTAAGAGCACCAGCGATCGATGAGACTATTCTGACGATCATATTTCACCTACTACGTCTCCTCGACTGACCAATCGATAGTATTACCGAAATTAGACCATCAATAGGGGCCATTTCATCAGAGACGTGAGATTCCAGCTTAAGAGCAGATCAATAAATGATGGATGAAGTTCCCAGTTTCTGTTTGCTCTTTTGATGAGTTCATCGGGAGGCGCACGGCAAACATCAAGTTCCTTGGCCGGAGCACAGAATGTACTCAGGAGGAAGCCTGTAGGCCCGAATCCACGTTTCCTTGCTCCATCAAAGACCTTGATAAGCTGGGTAAGTGGATAAAATCATGTTGACACGATACAAGTTCGCATTTCTCTCCGTTCGGCTATTTCTGCTTCGTCTGATAATTTTCTCTCTCATGCTGATATTTTCGGCAAAGGCCCGTCACGAAGTGCTAGCTTTGCTCGACAGACTTCAAATATGGACACCGTAGTGAAAAGAAAAGGGAACTGAGCGAGATTAAACAATGGCAAAACTTCTCTGCCTTTCAAGACCTCCCAGTCGCTCAATAAGTTCGATTCCTATCTGGAGTACTGGCATGGCGATCACTCCAGTTGCGTAGTATGCCTCATGAGGCACAGCTACCTTTTTTTAAATTCTGGGTTGGTCACGCGATATGCATATGAGGAGATGGTGGTGCCCTCACGCTCCTGCTTTCGTCATCGGGTGCGAGCGGCGTACTTACCCGGTAGCTCATCTTCCAAGTTTCCGTTTATTTTGTCCTATAAGTTTCTCAAGATATTCATCCATCAACTTTACTAGTATGTCACCCTGGGTATGAAAACCTGCTGAAAATTGCAAGAACGATCCAGTGAGAAGTCTGCTAGAGATTCTCCAAGCCCAAGGTCAACAGAAAGTTGCGATGAGAACTTGAGCCTTGATTCTGTCGTTCCACTTAAAAAATTGAATACCAGGAAGACGGGATGGTGATGGAATGGGCCTGGACATCAGCCAGAGGCATGACAGCCTCATCCCTTTCCCTTTTCACAACATTCTTCCCCCGTCGTTTTTTCTTTACTTCCTTTCTCACTCTGTGGATCTTCTTGAATCCCATGTGTGTAGTTATTATGTTTGGGAATCCGGGGTTTGAGAGCGTTCAAGGGGGGGAGGGGGGGGGGAGATACAGAGTGATGGATGTTCGGAAGTGGAACGTCACACGTTGATTGATCACCGCCGTTATACACCTCATCGCCCTTCCTGCCTGCTGCATGAGCCCAAGCAGGATAGATATCAGGAGAGACCATAATAGACTTTATATATACTGTACGTTTCACTCTGGAAACCGCGATCTGCTTCATCGATCCATCTCTGTCCGGAAAATAATCGGCATTCTTTCGGTTTCTGAATGAGAATTGGCAACTATAATCATCAGCATTTTCCGTCAGCCTCATGCACGAGGGGCACCCCAAAAGTAATGCCTCCTCTTTTGTCCACCAAAAACTACTGGTGGCACGAGCTTGAAAACGATATACCTCCTTGCAAAGTTTTGTGATTCCCACGCAGAAAGCATAGCCACCGTGGCGTCCACTAGTAAAAAAGTACCACCCCAGAGACATCCATCGCCATTTTACGAAATTTATTTTGTGCCGATACATATGTCGACGCGAGTACTGTTCGTCGCTTCTTGAATCTTGCGAACAATGGAGAAATGGCGTTGGAGGTCTACCATCGACAGCTGTTAACTGGTGAGAACATGCCGATTTCTAATGCCACTTTTTCCACTGTTCGCAAGATCGAGCCGGTGAGAGTACGCAGAAACTGAAAGGAACGAAAAGACGTACGGACGACTTTGAGCTTGACGAAGACGGAGGTCGGGGGATGCGTGGCGATAAGGCACTCGTACCAACCCTCGTCCTCCTCCGCCACGTACCGAATCTGTAGACCCCAGCCCTAGAAGAAAAAGCACCAAGCCGGTCAAACCAGAATACAAGCCTCTCGCGATCGCAGTTCTACTAATTCTACTACGAGTTTTCTAGTCACTGGTAGTTTTCAGTAGCATTGCCTTTACAGAGTTAGGCAAAAGCTGCAAGACAAGTCGCTTATCCCATTAAGTGCTCAAGCGGATGTTCTGCTGCCTCAGTGCATTGCCACACACGCTTCCTCCATTCTTCCCAAGTAACACAGTATATTGATGAAACGTTTTCGAAATGTTGCCTATGTTGCTCTATGTTGCAAGTTGCTGTACAACATTGAGAAAACATTGCTTCAATGTTTTCACTTGGAATGTTGCTGCGACACTTCTACGAATGTCATTGCAACATTAGCTATCAACATTGAGAGAATGTTGACACTCTTGACATCGACAACGTAGCGACAACATTCTGATACAACATGGACTTAGAAGTTTTAGAGAATTGTAAAGTTGTCCTCCTTGCCACGAGATGGAGACGTAAGTCTCGCTTTCTCACAGTACACAAAAGTGCCCTTCTCCCTTTCCCTGGAATAGTCCCGCACAGGAATGTCTAGTACCTTGCCATATGTCTCACATTGTCTCATTATAGGAATCAATGAACACGGACACTTCATCACCTGTTATCTTCATTTTCTAGACAGATTAATGGGGTCAAGATAGAAAAAGCTCATATTCCCAAAAAGAACCCTTTCCAAGAACTGGACAATAAAAAACGATGGTAGAGAGTCTGCGATCTCAATACTTCATATCCTCATCCTGGGTACTAGCTGAGGAAACGAAGGATTGATCTCGTGGACACTCCATAGAACATTGCGGTCGGACCTTTTCCTGTATTGTGCAATTTAGCACATCCAGGGGAAGATCACCTCCAAAAATGTACTGTCTCCTGCCTGTACATGATACAGATACTGTATTATGCATGGAGTAGGGGTTATACCAGTACAGGCTTCGTCCTGTTGATGAGAATGTACGAAAGGATGAAATAAATAATTCAATATTGGTCGAATATCGGTCCAGTTCAGGACCAGTGAAGCCTACGCTTTTCCGTAATGCCAATATAGGCCCAGATTAGGTGCCCGTGAATCAACGTTTTTAATCAACATTGCAGCAACATAAATCCTGAAACGTTTCTGCAACGTATATGTAATGAATAAGTAACGAAATGCAACGTAAATGCAATGTTCCTTCGCAACATTTGAGCAACGTTGACGTTTTGGACATTTACACATAGATGCAACATTGTTCATCAACATTTCCTAAACGTTGCTGGAATATCTTGTGTTACTTGGGTTTGTCCAATACCGTCTCTGAGATGGATTGACAAGCAGAGAGGATTCTTGAGATATCCATTAGCACGAAGTCGAAAAATGTACACCACTGATTACAGGTGTCCGCACGAGACGAGATGAAGTGGCTACAAATGAGAAGAGAGAGGAGGTCTCCGAAGGGACCCACGTCTCCCAATCCACTCGTAGGAGAAGACTTGGCTTAGGAAGTCGCAGACTGTACATGCAAAGTGGGGTTTTGTCCCATCCTGCATCTTTCCCTAAAGATGCGCCATTTCATCCCTTTCTCCCTTTGCAATCGAGACATATTTAAGTTACTACGAATCTACGACAACATTCCAAGAAATACTGAGAGTGGATTTGTAGCAGACGCAACGATCCCATCCATGTTTCCTCGATCGCACTATCGAAATTCCATCACGAGTCATGTATTATATCCTTAATGAATGGGGAACTAAAAGACCTTCCAACCGTGAGGAAATCGTCGTAATCGGAGCGCGAAATTCGAACAATCAACTTAGGAAAGAGAGGGTAATATCCACTCAAGTGAGGGGAGAACGCCAAGTTTTTTCCGCAGAAAAAAACTATTATCTGAAACGCCCTTATTATTAACAGCCCTTCTTTCCCTGCAACTTTTTATCCAGCCCTGTATACCAAAGGGTGCTGTTTTTAGCAATAGGAAATATGCCAACAGGTCGACATTGAAAGAAGTCTAAGTGGGATTTTCGAAAAGAAACTGTTAACAGTAGATTTTCATATTTCTGGTAGGACACGTACCAAGCAGCATTACAGTCATATTTTCACGTCTTAAAGACGCGAATTATTAGGAAACAAAGAAATCTCTTCGCAATACATCAGACCTACTCCTGATACATGCCTGTAAGTAGGATAGGTATGTCAACAAGTATGCCTGAGGTAAAAAAAAAAAAAAAAAAAAAAAAAAAAAAACAAAAAAAAAAAAAAAAAAAAAAAAAAAAAAAAAAAAAAAAAAAAAAAAAAAAAAAAAAAAAAAAAAAAAAAAAAAAAAAAAACCGAAGAGGATCACTGCACTCCTGAGCTGAGGTCTTATTTGTCCAACGACTCCATGCCATGAGTTTGCTTTATACTGCCAACGTCAATTTTTTCTCTCTGGTGTCACGGGATCTGAACATCTGGAAGTCTATGGTCTCGCGATGGGGGGATATTCCTCTGTCAAAACCACATATCTCGAACGTCACCACAAGGTCGATAGCGGAGTAATATTGCTTTCTATCTGGGTAGTTGGGTTCGAGCAGGTGATAGAGGCAGAGAGGAAAGAGTTGCGGTTCTTGGTTATGCACGTAGCCGCATAAGTAACTACTGGCCCTGATCCAGGAAATCCCATCACTCTAGACTCTTTCTAAGGGGGATGCGGGAAGCTTTCATATCCTGTCCGGATCCGCCAGGTCCTCATTTCCGAAGATGACGGTTATTTGCATAATTTATTCCACCAAGATGTCTTCCGTCGTGATATAAGACTCCGTTTAGCACAGTCAGGTCCTCTTTTCGCCCGAGACCCGACGAGGATCGAACGGCCGCGACAAAAAAAGAGTCATCCGCGATGAGGGCCATAAAAAGACTCTTTTCCTCCGTTCTGATGGCAGTCGTTCCCTGTTGGAAACGTTGGATGCATGGAAAGATGGAGAGTCTTAACGACTCTCTAATCGGAAGCAGATGATAGGTCATTCAGAAGGACTTTCCTCAGGTCATGAAATATTCAACGGAGGACTCTTTTCTCCCATCATGACAGATTGCTCTCTTCCATATCTCCGTTTCCTCTTACGATCTTTCCACTCCTCTCCAATTTTCCCATCTCTTCCCTCTCGAATAGATAGAAGGATTAAGGATTTGGAAGAAATCCCTTGTTTTGCTCGTTCGGAAACTGATGGAGTCCTCCTCTCGTCACGATCCTTGATGAGGAAGAGGGATAGTCGAATTTCTTTAATTCTTCCTCCCTCTGTCTCTCGAGCTTTGACGTATTTCTTATCTGATGAAAGCTTTCATCGCTTTCTGCTTTTCCAAGAAGGGAACATAAATTCTGTATTAACCTTTCCCTGAGACTTTTTTTGCAAATGAACTTCAGAAGTTGCCATTTTGCATCTAAGCTTCTCTTCGTGACTAAGCAAAAATATTTTGATTCAAACCCTCACATTATCAGGATCAGCAGGTGTTGCGTAGTGAATGATGATATATCTAACGCGTAAATATGATTTCTAAAGCCGAAAAAAAGTTAGTGAATCTTGCCTAACACAGCATATTGATGCTATATCGATCCAATACGGTCCAATCGATCCAATAGTAAAAAATCGAGAGTTTTAGAATGGAGGTAAATATCTTACATCGAATAAACTATTGTGCAACGGATTATCACATGTACCTAACATTCTGATGATGTCAGCTCCAAATCTCAAGAAATGGAAAGGAACGTTCGGCCGAACGACTGAGTTGTTTGAGCAATATATTCCGCGGAGAACCGAGGAAATAGGACTTCGTTTACCCCTCCTCTTGGAAGAGGAAGTCAGGTAGAGTGTCAGGAGTTGTACGATTGAGTTCGAGAAAAAAAAAAAAATTAGTATGGGCCGAAGTACCTCACCCTTTTCATGTAACGAACTCCTCCACATGTTTGCCCTCGTGTCATTCGTGGAGGTTCGAATTGAAGGAGAAACTGCCAGAAAGGGAAAAAGTCAGTCTGGGGGATCTCATCAAATGTCTATCTCCGATGCGCGAATGAGCTGCACGGAGTGATCCAGCCGAGCGATGGGTGCTCCAAAGTGCTCCGAGTGCTCCAAACTTCCTCCAGGGAAAGGGGTATCGACGTCCCTCGAAGTAAAGAGTCTCTAAGTCGTTCGAAGATGAATTGAGGGGTCCAACGTCCTTTAAGTATGGACGGGTTCACAACCAGTGGCGGATACAGGAGGGGAGGGAGGAATGATTCTTATACCTTCCATAAGAGATTCTTATGTCTATAAAACTTCCATAAGAGATCCACAACGGGTAAGGAGGAGAAGGCGTTTTCAGTCATTTGCCTCCAAAGCCTATTATCTCACCGCCTTGTCCTCTCTCCACTTCTATCTTTCACCGGTTTAATGGGAATCCACCCAAGCTCGCCAGTGCTAGACTCTCTTGGGAGCACTCCCCCCCCCCCCCCCCCCCCCCCCCCCCCAAC